TGACAATAGAATGTAAGACTCTCGTTGTATAATTTGGATCATCATTTTGTGTAACATGGGTACCTGTTGATCATATGCAGAGACGTTTGTAGCTGAAGAGGGTTTAACRGTCTTGATAKGTRGACCTGTTGGMTGTGCAGAAGGTGCATCACCTCTTCAAGAGGGGTGAGCTTTAGGCGCAGTTGTGTTACCYCTGGAGGATCATGATCAAGMGTTTAAGACAACATAAACAAGATTAACACYAAACAACTCTTTTTCATAGAAATCGTGGATTATGAAGTTTCATGGAAAATCCAAAGAAAGGACATTAGGAGGCAGCTAAACGGATTTTAAAATATGTAAAAGGTACATTAKAACATGGAATAACTTATTCTTATTMTCYTAATTTCAAGCTGYTGGGCTATAGTGATAGTGATTATGTGGGTTGCTTTGAAGACAACAGAAGCACAACAKGATATATATTTTGTCTAGGAAGTGGTGYTGTCTCATGGCAGTCAAAGAAGCAAAAAGTAGTGGCTTTRTCTTCCACTGAAGYAGAGTATATGGCACTMTCCTCTACTGGTTGTCAAGCTTTATSGCTTAGRGGMATTTTGGAAGAWTTGAGCATTCCTCAAAGAAGTGCCACAGAGATTTATTGTGATAATAAGTCGGCAATTGCCTTAACCAGAAATCCAGTCTATCATGGTAAGAGCAAAATATAAGGATAAAGTTCCACTTCATCAGAGAGCTTATTCAAGATGAAGAAGTTGATGTGGTGTATTGCAATTCAAGAGATCAATTGGTCGATATCTTTACAAAGTCTTTACAGCGTGGACCTTTTATAAAGTTGAAAAAAGAGTTAAGACTGGATGATGTTTAGCTTATGGGGGAATGTTAAATTATAAGCTAAAACATCCAAGTGACAGTTATGCCTATTATGGTTAGTTAACAGTTATCCAGTTCCCGCCAAAACTGTTTCATGAACCGCCATATCTCTTGTGAAGAGTTGCATCATTTCCTTAGGATTCCTACCTGTTATATATATATATATATATATATATATATATATTTACTTTTTTTCTTTGTGTAGTTTTGTGGGTTGTGTATTGTGACTTGTGGTACTTTGATTCATATTAATAAAGTAACTTTTAAGTACTGTATGTTCTTACATCAAAATTGACATGTGTTTTGTCTTTGAATCTAGCTGTGAGGTCAATAACAAAATCATTCCAGTCCACTATCTTTATCACAGA